TATATATATATATATATATATTNTTTTTTTTTTTTTTTTTTTTACTTTCGTCGGACAAATTATTGAATTGGTCGGCGATCGAAAAGCTGGTTGGAGAAAATGATCGGTTCGGAGCTCGGATTCATCTCCGTTGGGACGAATGTCCATACGAATCGAATCGACCTTTGATCAGAGGTGCGCGATATCGGTGAAAATTCGCGAGCGATCTCTATCGTCATATCGTCTCGAAATTCTCGCGTCCCGTCAGATAGAATCTCGGTTAGACGCGTCCGGGTTATCGACGATTCAACTTGGGAATCATAGATTATGGCGTAATTAATTGACCGAAATACGGGGGATGTGTCATCCCGTGATTTCGGAGTCAGCATAAAGCGGCGCTGAATTAGCGAGTATCGAGGCGACGGATTACCGTGTAATGACCACGATTACCATGCAACTCGAGTCAATGGTCGCGCCCGATTTGTCATCGAATCGAAATTCTCGCCGAATACGCCGAATACAAAGTGGACGAATATATATATATATATATGTATACATATATATATATCAGGGTAGATCGCAGTACTCGAAATTACGAAAACGGGAACGAGTAGTAATTATAACTGGTAGGCCCACGAGCCGTTCCCCCTTTGTCCGTCCGTCCAATTCGATCCACGCAGTCTTAAGTAAAGTCCACACTAGTGTCCCTTCGTGTCTCTTCCCTTCGCTTCTCCACGTGGTTGCGAATCGGTATCCTCGAGAGACTCCTTTGCCTCGATGCATTGTCCAACCACGATCCCAACGCGTTGTTTACCGACAATGTCGCGCATTTCCACCGAATCATCCGATTCGACGCCGCGAGACGCGTCGATATACACACACACACGCATATGTATATACATAGGCGAAAATCGGTGGAAATTCTCGCGGTTGGGAAATTCGTAACTCGACGGCACATGGTCGACTACCATGCACCGATTCGTCCGTCCAACGCTACGAATCGAACGTATCGAAAACGTTTGCGCGTTTGCCTGTGTCCGTCTACGTATACGTATACACTGGAAATGGACACACGTGTTCCACTCGCTCGTTCCATTCGAGCATTCGGTTGCTCGAAGCGCGTTTTATATTACTAGCTGCTTCGTAGGATGCTCGAGCACTTTTCGATCGCGGAAACAAGTTTCGAAAAGTTCGTAAAAAGCAGCGTAATTATTACTTGAGATTTACTGTTGCCGCTTTAAGCGTATACAAATCCTTGGGATCCGAAAAAATAATCGCCCGATATTCGAGTCTTCGGATCTCATCGAAAACGCTAATCCCCGCACATTTGATCTCGTTCTTTTTTTTTTTCTTTTCTTTTCTTTTCTTTCGTTCTTTGTCTTTTCAGCAACCACATCTCGCGAAAAATCACTCTCGTTTCGCGTACAACGATCGAACGCATCCTCGACCGAGTCGAGTCGTCGTTTTCTAAAATATCGCGTCATTAGTTGGAACAAAGAACGGATCGAACTCGGTAGTTCTCACCTCTCTCCCTCCACGCTTTTCGACTCTGCTCGTCGAAATACGTTTCGATCGTTGATATATATATATATATAACGTTAAAATATATACACGGGGAAAGTTTACACGCGTTGTCTGCACGCGCGCGATTTTTGTTCAAAGTTCTGCACAAATAGGAGACACGCGTTATTACACGGAGAATCAAACACACTGGACGAACAGTTGGGAACAATGTCCGGCAAATGTCCACAAAAGTCTGTGAAAAAAAAAAAAAAAAAAAAGTAGGATTTCTCTGGTCGATTACTCACCACCATTCTGCGCGATAATCGGGTCGATAGCCACCAACAGGACGAGGAAGATAGGAGTCATATTGACCACCCTCTTTCCCGTCTTCTCTCGGTCTCCCGTGATCACTGCACACTTAATACCACCGTTGCAGCGTTCCACCTATGGAAAAACAAATCACGCTCGTCATAACATACCACCTTCACTTCGTTTCGCTGTTGGAGATCTTCGTACGAACGAAGACGAGGCGTTCGAAATCGTTCGAGCGCGCGCGCCTCGATGACAAGCTGCCGAGCTGGAAGAACAATCAAACAGGACGGGAAATTCGTTCTCGTACCCACGATCGTTCGAGGATTCGCGATCGCTCGCCGATCGTTGGTCGATCGGGCGGCGTACGTAACGGTAGGTAAAAAAATACTATTTATCGATGCTTGGTCCGTAGTTGATGGACAAGCACGGACAAGGGAAACGCTTATTCGGCGAGAATCGAACGTAACTATCGACACGCGCCATTTACTACCGGCCCGGTGTTCTCCGCTCTACGTAACGCGAATTTACCGGCCACCATCGCACACGATAAAAGGAAAAAACGGCAAGTTTTTCACCAACATCGTTAACAACGATCGCACGCTCGTTGTCCCTCGAATGCAACGAGATCGCATCGCGAGCCTGTTCTCATCCTTCCTTCGTATCCGCTCTTCGATCGATTCCCCGTTTCCTTTCGCCTCGATCGTAAATGGAGGAGAATCGATCTCTCGACGATGATGACGTTCCTCGGTGACGTTGGCTGTCTTCTCTCCAAAAACTGGATGTATTTCCCCGGAGATCAACCAACTTCTCTTCCCTTTTCTTCCATCGCTTTTCTTCCACTTTACCACCGATTCCACTCCTTCCTCTCTCCTTCTTTTTTTATATCGATACGAGCAACGACGGTGCGAACAAGGTGTATCGTGACAGGCGAAGAAGAAGAAGAAGAAGAAGAAGAAGAAAAAGAAGATCTAAAACATTTCTCTTCTTCCCTTCCTTATAATCTTCCTTTTCCGTATAATTCCCACTACTTCCAAACCATTTTACCTGTACTCTTTCTTTCGATGATTCCACGACCATCCCATATTTTTCACCACCCTCCACTCGAAATGTGACCCACCACCTCGTTCGAGCAGCTTCTTCACCACCGCGCTCGCTTCAGATCTGCAAAACCGTCCACTACTCGCGAGTTTCGCTCGCCCCTCTTACATTTTTTCCCCCTGATCAATTCCCTCGATCATTCTTCCCCTTTCTTCCCCGTCCGACTTACGATCGATCGTGCTCCTCTTCTTCATCCCATCCAACTGTTAAACGCTCTCCTCTTCTATCCTTCGATCCTTCGTATCGAATTTTTAATGGGAACGACCGTTATCATTTTCGATACCACCTCTTCGCACCTATCCAACTCTAGATGAGACGAATCGAATAATCGTACGATCATCGAGGTACGATGTAAAAGAAACTTTTATCCACCTTGAATTTCCTTGTGTACGCGACGTCCTTTTGCGCGCGTCCTTCCTCCTCTCTCGTTCCTCGTTTCATATCTTCAACGACATCGTTCGTCCCCTTCTTGTTCTTCTCGATCGATCCTCGATCGATCCTTCCTTCGTAGAAATTTCGTATAAAAATGGCTGGGTTAAAAACGATCGTCGCTGCGCACAACGATACCACTTTCACAATTGAACGCTTGTTCGCTCTCTTCACTGATTCTTCTTCTTCTTCTTCTTCTTCTTCTTCTTTTTCTTCTTCTTCTTCTTCTTCTTCCTCTTCTTCCTCTTCTTTTTCTTCGTCGTCGAATTTTAGACCGATCGTTCGCTTCTTCACGCGTACGATTCCAAGATGCCGAGGAGAGAGAGATATTGCCGCGTTCTTGGAATCAATCGTACGCGTATCGTAGGAGCACGATTGTTCGGCCACTCACTCGGTCGGTCGGTCAGGTTGTTCGAAAATTATCTTTTTCGCGACAAGAGGGGAAGGATGGAAGGGGAGGGGAAGAACACGTGTGAATCTTGCCGCAAACGATGCACAAGGATAAATTAATAAAATAGGCTGCGATATTATGGGATCGCGTAGAAGGTAGTTTTCTGAACGCGCGCTGCGGCTTGACTGACTCATCCCCATACCCCCCGACGATACCCCCTCGCCACCTACCGTCCTTGCATCGCGCAAGCGCGACATACCCCCTCTGACTCGACGTTTCGAGTACGAAACACGTATGAATTCGCGCCGAGTGCGATTTTAAATCACTCCCCGATATTTTCCTCGCTTCGTAGAAAAATGTTTGGCCACGATATTCGATCCAACGAAATTCACGTTTAATAATACTTGGCTCGAGTTCGAAATCGAATCTCGGCTCGAATCTTCGCTCTCAACTTATATATATATAAAATATCTCGCAAGATCTCGGCTTGTGAATCGCGTGTTTTTGTCGGGTGAAGAAAATTAAAATTTTTCATCGATTCGATGAAATTGTACGGTTGAAAAGGGTTGAACGGGAGTAAAAGGGAGTAGAGAGAAGTGGATGGGAGAGAGAGAGGAGAGAGGGTAGTTTCGGCGCTGGTTTAAACGCGACGCATGCGTTCCTCGCGCGAGAGGATGTCCGGGGTGAGCCGTAGCCGTACTCTGGCCGACGTATCGCAGTTTCTAGCTCGATGTTTGTCCGCGTGGTACTCCCAGGGACGGTGGTGCTCGTTCCAACCACGAGGAGGATGTTGGAATACAAAATAGCCCGAGAGAAAGTACGCAATTGGGGTTTGGTTTGAACGATCAGAAACCCGTGAAACACGCATGGAAACACGGTACACGCTGCACTCAACGACTCAACGCGAGTCAAGAAGAAAATATATACATATATATATATATATCGGTATACATCCCGCGACCAGATCTTCGACGCTTGCGCTCCTTCAGCCAACTGACCGAAACTTGCCAACTGACCGGCTTTTTTACTTTTTCCCACTTCGATGCGAAGCTTCGGATCCTTGGTCGTTCAACCACGGGACACAGAAGGCTCTCCCTCCCTCCCCTCCCGGGGGGGATACGAGAAAACCCTGGCAGTCAACGTGATACACTTTTCGAGCGGGTAAGTGGCCAATCGTGTGTACTTTCCAACACTTTCTTCTTCTTCTTCTTCTTCTTCTTCTTCTTCTTCTTCTTCTTCCTCCTCTTCCTCTTCTTCGCCTCTTCTACTCTCTCGCGCGGTTCGTTGTTAACGCGTTGTTCCAAATTCTCGATCGATCGATCGATTCAGGTTTTGTTATCGCAAAATGACGATTATAAAACGAATCGCGATCGATTATTTACGAGTTTAAAGTAATTTCCTCGACTCTGTGCTCTTCGCTTCTTCGTTTCACGCTCACACGTTGTTAAACGTATCGATTGATTTAAAATAGATACATTTATTTTTCTTTCTCCGTCTCTATCTCCTTCTTTTTCTTTTCCATTTCAACCTATATTCAATCCCCGGTGAAAATAAAAGAAAAGGGGCAGGGAAAGGGTGGTGGCAGACTTTGAGTTAAAAATATAAACAGGTCAACGTAACTTGGCAACAGAATCGTTGAGAAGAACGGGAAAAGGACGAGGATGAAAAGATGAAAAAAGACGAGCACCGTGGCGTATCTCCGGAGGGAAAAGCGTGTTCCTTTGCTCCCCGGTGATAATAAAAAATTCCAAGGTGCGCGTAACTTAATTTAATATCGTGGCCAGTGCACCGTGACCCGATGATAAATCCCTCCAGTATCTCTGACCGCGCCATTTCTATTCTCCCATTCTAAAATCTGCCTACTACTACTCCTTCCTCTTCTCGAACAAAAGACGATGGTCGGGAATAAGAATAACCGGGAAGTAAGCGTGGAGCGCCACTAGGACTCGCCGAGGACTCGAATCAAGGAGAGAAAAGAGAGCGAAAAGAGAGCGAAAAGAAAGCAGGAAATAAGAAAACGGCTAACGAACGATTCAACCGGGGATATCGAATCCATCGTGTAATACCACCCTTTTCTTTCTTTCTTTCTTTCTTTCTTTCTTTCTTTCTTTCTTTCTTTTTTTTTTTTTGTTCTTATTTATATCCCGAATGTAACTAAACTCGGCAACTGTACCGTTTTACCGAGAGACCACCTCGCAGAAATATTACCGTAGAGGCGAAGCTTTGTTCTCAGTTGGGACCAGACGTGGAAAAGGAAAGGCGTCCTCCACCGATATTTACACGTGTCATCCGATAAACGTTTACGAAAGATTTTCTCCATTCGTATTTCGCGTTGCGGGATACACACAACAGCTCTCCGATCCGATTATCCGGAATTGCGAATTTATAATCCAGATTTACCCCAGTAATTCTCTAATCGACAAAAGACTGGGAAAACGTGTTATTTCGTTCCATTTGCAACTGGTGTTACGATTCGAATTGGAGAAGGTTCGAGTTTTCCATTTTCAACGACATAACGCGAAATAACGCGAAAAAGTATTTCTTCGTTTTTTTTTTTTTCTTCTCTTTCTTTTTCAACTTCGATCCATTTCCAGAACGTGAATGCATCATCGCCTGAATTTTTGCCCACATTGTACATGTATACACGTGTCGGCGCATTTTCGCATCTGTAGGTAAAAAAAGTGAAAGAGAGCAAACAGGCAAACTGAATGGTGGTGGTGGTGTTGGGAACGACGGCCATGTAAAATGTCGCGGGACAATCGTACATCGTGCACGTTCTAGTAACTTATGAATAAACATTTCTTGACGCCACCCAGTGGAAAATTACTCTCGGAAATGTTTCCTATCCTTCTGCCGTATTCTTTTCTTTACAGTTCATCCTTTTTCCCTCCTCCTCCTCCTCTTCCTCCTCCACCTCTCCACCTTCCATTCGCTTCTTCTCTTCATTGTTCTTCCCTGCGTTCCCTCCAAATAGCGAAATTTTACCGTTGATCGAAAGATTTTTAAAGCTGGAAATATCATACGACTTCGTTCGATTTTTCATCGCGTCGGTGGTGGTCGGTGAAAACGAAAAGCGATAAAATCGAATTTGCGGGGCGCGCGATAAAATAATTTAGCTAATTCAACGTTACATTTGTGTTTATAAATTGTAAATCAAGTTCGTTTTACGTAGGCTGTTAGCTCGGCATCGGGGACCGTTTCCACGATTAATGTT